TCTTCCCCTCCACATCAAAGAGGCAAGCTGTGTGATCCGCTTCCCCCAAAATGTAGGGCGAAATATTTGTAATAAATACAGCCTGAACAAAATGAGTTGAGGGAGTTGTTTGCTGTTCTGAGAATCATGATGGGCCAGAAACTATCCCATGCTAGCTAATGAGTTACTGTATTTTAGTTGCCCTACACTATCTGAGAAGCAGGTAAGTGTCAAAGCACTTTGCCAGGGAACAAAACTGCACATCTCCAGTTCTTTCAGAGGGTACTTTATGTAAAATACATCCTCCAGGCCAGTCTGGGTGTTTGATATTCTCAAAGGGACCCAAATGGATGAGGTTCAGTCCTTCTTAACTCCATGTCAGCAGAGATTATGTCTCCAGCTGAGTTTCCGTGTGCTGGGAAACTTCCTCAGTTTCTTTGCATGGTAGTCCTGATGTGTATTCCGTTTTCCTCCTTTTCGTTTGATTAAGTGTTTCAGTGGTGATTAGCTGTGGAGCAAATATTTCTTAGACTTGTGTTTCCCCATATGCAGTAAAAATCCTAAACCTATGTAGACTTGGGTAACTGAACGGTATTTCTGGCTTCCCATCCGTGGACACATGGACAGAGGAGACGTAAGATGTTCATCTTCACATGTCTATGGGACAACTTGTGGTTGGATTTCCATGCTTATGCTTCAAGCTCAAAACAGCATTTGGGAGGTTAGCGGAACGTGTTATGAAGTGTGACAGGCTGGGTAAGAAGCTCAAGAATTGATTATAGTTTTGGTAAGTTGCTTTCCTCATCAGTAGAGGGGGTTAGTTGTATTGTGTCAGAGTCGGTGTTGACGTGGAGAAGAGTTTGCTGTACTAAGGTGACGGCTGAGGTGTTGTTAGTGAAGGTGTTCAGAAGTTGCTTAACTATAGAAAAAATAGGTATTGGCTTTCCACAGAATCACGGAATGTTAGGAGTTGGAAGGAACCCTAGAAGATCATCTAGTTTTATATGTGTGTTAAGTACAGAAATGCATAGTGTATATCTAAACCTCTGTCATTTCTGTTGGTTTTTTTTTTAAAAAAAAAAAGGACAGATGCAGTGTCATTTTTAAAAGAATGCTGTAAATGATACGATGTAGCTTTCATTATCATTAAAGTGTGTGTGTGTGTACATGTAAGATACGTGTACATATATATGGTTCTTAAACTGGGAGACTGCCAAGCAAAAGATTATCTGTCAACATACAGCCTGACTGCTTGTGCATGTGTATGATTATGCCAACTTGGGTAGCCTTGTGAGCATAGGTCTTAAATATTATTATCATCATCTTAAAAACTATTAATAGAAGGGAGGCAGCACTGGTATCATGTACTCAGAACTAGAGAAAAGATGAGGGAAATCATACTTGGAGGTCTGCTAATCCCACTTAAATGTATTTAATGCCTGCTGATTTTCTGTCAAATGTATTTTAAATGGATGTATAGGGACTTTTCAAGTCAGGTGTCGAACGTTTGAGTTGTCAGAAATGCAGATGTCGGGTAAGAAAGTGACCCTGCAGCTGGAGGATGGGAAGGGGCACAACAGTGGTATTTACAAAATTGCCTTGAGGCTTCAGTCACTATGTTCCTATTTTTGTGTTTTATTTTTTTTTGAGTAGACTAGAGAGTTTTTCTTCTGATAACAGAATTCAGTGTTGATAGATCATTGATTTCCAAGCAGCAGCTGGAATTACTTAGCAGATAGACAAGAGCAGCTGCAGACCTTACTAGCAGTAACCGAAGGATTCAGGTACACAGTGAGTTTCCACCTGGCTTTTCGGTCCTTTCATCACATACACAAGACTCTGGTGGTGTATTCCTGAGCGTATTTTGTTAAACACCCGAGCAGAAACGCCAGACTACCGTTGTGCTAAGCAAAGCCTGCTCCTCTCACCACCTCACAGCAGGTTTATTAGCAGAGGGCCTGAAGCTGGGTGAGGATCACGGCTCGCTCACCCTGCTCGTCTCCCTTGCTTGCCCATCGGGCCCTTTGCTTGCCTTACAGCAGCACCTAGTGGCCATTTCTGTAGATTACTACCCAGAAATCCCGGGATTCATCATACAGTCCAAAACCTGACTCCCCTACCAGTTTCCTCCTTGCCCGCTGCCTGACTCATCAGGACGGCGTTAAAGCCTGCATCAGTCGGTGCGGAAGGTGAGACAGGGGCTGTCACTCGCCCTCGTTGGGTGTGATCTGCCTCAAGAGCAGGTTGTGGTAGCCTGCAGGGAAAGGGAGACTACGGAGGCATTATCCTTGCAGTTTCCTTCTCTTTGGGAACAAAAGGTTATCTTGCATGCAATGTCGGGTCTGCACAGGGTGCTGTTGCCTGAGGTGTAAATCAGAAGTGAAAAATCTCTAGGTGTAGCTAAGGATTAAGCTGAGAGGAGGAAAGATGAGAAGAAATGAGATGTTGAGGACATTTTATAACAGCAGGAAATGAGATGTATGCAATGGCATTCTCTGTGCATCCATTCCTTCTGGTAATTGTTTCAGTGCTTTGATCAGGTTCAGCCTGGCAGAGGTTAGAAATCGTCCTGGAGATAATAAATTTCCCACAAGTCAGGAGTGTCTGGGGAGCAGCAGACTAGAAGAAACAAGTTCAAGTTAGTGCTTCTGTCAAGCAAAGGCAACAGCAGTAGCTTTCTAAAGGTAATGGAGTTTGATAGGAAAAGTATAGCCATCCTAACCATAGAATCAAAGAATCCCAGTTACTGGGTGCCAGCAATCTGTCCTTTACGTGCAAAGCTGTGGGAGAAGGGACTTCACACCTTCCATGGCTTGTCATTCCCATACCTCAAAGGTGAACAAGCAGTGCCAAACTCCCAGCACATGGCCTTGGTGGCAGTGAGAAGGTTTATCCTCCCTCTCGACCCTAAGGGGTCAAATGCCTTGGCAGCCTTGGTGTTGCAGGGGGTGAGTTGTCATATAACCCCTCTTGAGAGGGCTCCTCCACTCCAGCACAGTGCATCTGGGATGACACAGGTCAGCGGCTCCCAAATCAGAGCTGTTGTGTGCCCCTAGATGGACAGAGAAAGCCACAAAGCCGCGGTCCCTGTCACGTTACAGCCAGTGGGCAGAGTTGGGATACACAGCGACCCCACAGGGGTTTCACACGGCTTCCTCCTTAACGCTGCTTCTCCTGAGCAAACAGTGCCCTTCTGTATGGCACGTTGAATGAGCTCTGCTTCCAAACAAACTGTTTCAGCGGACTCCACAAACTAAGCTATGCAAGGCAGCCGATTGAACTGCAGAAAATTTAATTTATATGGAGAACTGAACCCCACATTTGGTTGTTCCCGGGAGAATCTCACCAGTGAATTGGCCTGAAATAACCAAATGAGGGCTCAGGCATGCAAGCAGCCTCCTTACGTATTTCGCACCAGTGTAGACACTCAGCCCTTCATAGCCAGGTCACTCAACAGCAGCAAGATGGGCATGCATCCCTGGTATGGTTCACACCACTGCTGAGGCAAAGGCATCTGAAACCATACGGAAGCATGAGAAAAGCGGTAATAAACACGACATCAGTGAAAATAGTAACACAAACCATTGAGAAAGCAAAAGACGGGCATTAAAAGTACATTCTTTTGTAACCCTTTGGGTTGGTATACTGCCACAGTACACTGATAAAGCATCCTGCTTCATGTTTAATAAATATAACGGAAGCATAGATCATAGGAAGCACTGTCACTGCTTGCTTTTATGGCAGGGAAGAAAGAAGTCTGACCATGTACGTAAGCCAGTTTTCATGTGGTAATGTTCCCTTTGGCCTGTGGGTCGCAACACTTAGATTTAATGTTTTCAGGGGAGTTTGGGATTACTGAAACAAAATGCCGCTGGTGCTGTTGCAGTACTAAAGCATCTCAGATGAACAGCAGCAGGAGCAGCAGTACGGACGGCGCGTGCTGTGGGCTTGCTTGTTCTGCAGTGCTTTGTGCTCACTGGCAACAGGTGCAGCTGCCAGCTAAATCTCCTGTGTGCATTCACTAACAAATACTATTGGCATATGTCGTTTGGTAGTAAACAAGTGAGAAGACACATTTGCATTGAAATGCTTTAAATAAACTGAAATTTCATGGAAAAATTAGAAATTGGGGGAGGGGGGAATTTCCAACTTGTTATTTTTCCTAAAATCCCACAAAGCCTCCTTCTTCTGTTACCTGTAAGCCATGTTGCATACCTTATTTTATGCTAATGGTACTTTATGCTTCTAGGAGTTACATGTAAAAATCTTTTACACTCAAATGTGACATTTAATGGATGTATCATATTTGATACAGTTTGTTTACAGGATGTTACTTGGTTAACGTTTCTGGCTGATAAGAACAATATGACTAAGCTCTATATTAATTCAAATAAGGCTGTTGTTTTTGAACAGTCATTTCTTCGTGTTTTGATTTCAGAAGTTATGACTCTTTCTTGCACTGCTTCCCATAAGCACCCCAAAATGGATAATTAGGTATGTTACTTGTCCAGTTTTGGGCTTATGGTATCCTTAACTACTTATTTTCATGCTGTTAGCTCCCTGGGGATTGTTTTCTGTAATAAGTATTTCTGTCACTTAGCAACTCTTAGTGTCTTCAAATCTTTTTTTTAGCTTCCAATACAGAACAGTTGGATAAATTGCAGATAGAGCAGTGTTGATAAAATCACCAATAAAAGGTAGTTGTAGCCCAATATCATCAGTTTAGTATTTTGTTGCATAGAAATCTTTTGAAAAGTTTGGAATTAAAAAAAAAAAATCCCTGGTACTTTTTCTGGCTTTTCTTCCTAGATGATTTTCAAGTGCATTAAAATGTGTGCTAAACTGTGTTTTCACCTATAAATTTTGTTTTAACTTATACAGGACTGTGAAACATTAGATTGTCCATCTTCTCTTAAATGCTACTCCTTTGTACTGCTGACTGGTATTTCATTTTACTACCTGTTGTTCTTAACTTGAAAGAATCCCCTTTGAGGTCTTATTCTGCACACTCCTTGTTTCAGGTTTCCTCAAGTACTTTTCAGTCTGATGCAACTAATTCTACAGAAGCATGTCAGAAGTCGTCATTGTTTCAGTTTGCAGAGGTGAGTTTCTTTAAAAAGGATTGTCCTTCACAGTATTTCCTCTGAAGATGTTTTGCTGTTCAGCTGAAAGAGAAATCAAAACCCTTTAGCTGAAATTCATGCTTTTATTTGATCCTTCCTTTTGGATTTATTTATCGCATAGATAGGTCAGACTTGAAGTACAAGAGAGTATGTTTAGGAACATGGTGGAAGCCCTGTGCAATTAATGGAGCTGTGGTTTAAGCAGTGATTTAGAGATGTGTCTTTCCTACACTTTGTTCTAAACTTAGTTCTAGTTACTAGAGTATTGCTGACTAAAGTTTTAACATGTATTTGGATGTTACAGTTTGTCCTTTATCTTGTGGCTGCTTTAGTTGCCTAGTCCATCAAAAATAACTAGTTTTGTAATTTCCAAAGTTTTCTTCCGTTGTTTAACCACTCAGTAGCTCTATGCAACTATGGTTTAGTTTTGCAGTGTACAGTATTTTTGTCAACATATTTCCAGTTATTGCTAGAAGTGCAGCTGTGGTGTGGTTTTTTGGAGGGTGGGTTTTTTGGGTTTTTTTCCCTAAGTATACACTATTCATCCCAATTTTAATGGATTTCATTCACATAAATAATACAAGAAGAATGAGATTTGAAGGAGTTCTGGTCCTCTGCCAACATCACTTGCTTGTTGATATCCTACCAGCTTTTGAAATGGTCGTAACCAAGTGATATAGAAATATTTAGCTCTAAATACTGATTGTACAGGACACTGGGTAGTGTTTGAGTAAGTGGGTATGGACAGAAGTTTTGTCATAGCTGGGGCTTCTTTTTATTGCCTGTTTTCACAGCAGCTGTGAATTTGACTCCTGTATCTTTAATACTCCTTGATGTGTGCACCTTCATATTCTTCCCTAAACATCATTTATAGAACAGGTGCACTGCAATCCTAGCACAAAGGAAATATGCTAGTTTTGGTTTGTTTTGGTGTTTGTTTGTTTAACATCAACCTACAAGATGTGAGTTTCAGCTTAAGATCTGAAGCTTCCAAAATGTATTGGAAATGAATTAAAGCACTGATCCTTTATTTCTGATAAAAGATAATGGCCTGAGTGAAGTACATAACCTGCAATTAGTCTATTAAATGACCTTCTGGCTTTTCTTGTTAGAAAGAGGAAATGCCTGGTGTGCTAGCAATGAAAAGCACTACTTAGAAGCTTCCTAAAATTGGTTAATTCCAGTGTCACGTAGTGCTACTAAGTCAACATCCATCTTCCAGTATTTCTAAGCTGCTTTTGTATACTTACACTGTCAGTTGAGCAGTGTCACACCTTGTACAGCTCCTCCTGATAACAGTCTGTTTCTTGAATTGCACTGCTAAATCTTTTAGAAGAGTAAGGCAAATACCAGCTCACTCAGTTGTTTCAGTTCATTTTACTGCCTGAGCAGGAAAGTGTCACAGCCGTGTAGTAGTGAGCAGGAGTCGTGTTGTGTACTGCAGGGCAAACTCTTGCTGAGGGCTTGTGACTGCTGGCATTTCCTTACCTGTTGCAGAAGAGCCTCGGTGGGTGCCAGGAAACGAGCTCACCTGCACTGCTAGAACATACGGTTTAGAAGTAACTCACTGATGATCAGTAATTAGAAATGAATATTAGCTAGTCTTATTTTTCAAGGATGTCGAGCAGCCTATAGTGGGGCTGCACCTAACCACTGCATGGTAGGTGTATATGTGTCAGTGGCAAAGTAACTGGTACTTGTACTAGGGTCTTAAATTAACCAGAAGTGTCATTTACAACAAAAATAATTGATGAATGTTAAACAGTATAAAATGCAGTTACTTTATTGTCTGGGATAGATCCGGTAAGTCAGAGTACCTGCATGCATTGTGTCCCTGTCCACACTTACCTTCTGTGCTACGTAGTAATTTGTGCTTTATCAGCATCACCATGCAGCAGTTTCAGGTCTTCAGTGAACTGAGAAATACAATACAGTATTAAATACTTTGTTTGACATACCAGTGGGCAAATAGAAGCCCTTCAAAAAAGGTCTCAGCCCGTTCTGTGGATCCTAGGAGTTTTCCTTGCAAAAAATAATACAAGTCACCGTTTCACAGATCACCCATTTATGCATCTCCTGGAAAGCAGATCCTGTTCTTTGTATGGGTGTGCTGGGACTAATTTGTTTGGGTTTAGGTAGCAGCAGTCTTTCTGTGTGATGAATCAGGAATGTAGCATGTTGAAGTTTGATATTGAAACTAAAGAGTTAAGTAATACAAACATAATTGTTATTCTGGCAGATCTCTTCAAGCACATCGCAGCCTGGAGTCCCGAGAGCTGTAAAACAAACGGAGGAGTCTGCGTTGTTTCAGTTCGCTGAGGTATAATGGCTGAAGCATGGTGGGGGGAGGATGGGAGGAAGCAGCAGAAGTTATCACTGCATGGCTGAACACCCTGTCCTGTAAGGGATTCCCATCAGTAGGTGTTTATCTTCATGACAGTATTGTGTTAAGAAAATAAGGGTTGGGGGCCGTAATCTGTGATTGGACGAAGTACTGGCCAGTTCTGCCAGCTGTGGCATAAACAAAAGATACTGGGCTGGTGAACATTACCAAAGGACCACTGCAGACGTATGTTCCAAATGGCCTCTTAATTGCATCTAGGAAAATAACAAATAAAAGATACTCTGAAATGACACTATGCAGGTGGTGACTTATAAAGCCTGTAAATTACCCCTAAAGATGTAAGCTATTCTTCCTCCTTGGAGTTCTTAAAGATTGCTTTTGAGAACTTTCCCCCATGTGTTTAATGTGCCTCTGTGAATTACTTTCCACATGTATACTCTTCTTGCCCATTTGAGGGAGTCTGGTACTGCTTGCAGAATCAGTTATATTAAAGGTATATTCAGGATGCATCTGAAAAGACTGGAATTGGAGCTGGTGCTATTGTGGAGAGGAGCACAATGGCACAAAAAGATACTCTCTTTGTTATTCCGTGTGCTTACAGAGATTTGACTATGAACAGCACCTTTCTTTCTGTTAAATGTTAAGCTAATTGTGTACTGTGTGTATTCAGCTTTTCTAGGATGGGCCTTGGTGTATTTCTTAAGAGGCCTAACTGAGAAAAAAACAATTTACTGATTCAGTCCCTATAAAATACCTGACTACAAACACTCTTCTTATAAGAGATACATTAGAGTTAATATCTCTAATCATGCGGATGTTTTCATATGTGCCACCTTTATTTAAAGTTACAGATCAATGTGGAAAGTTCTTTTGAGAAAATTAGTGGGATTGAGCAGGATGAAGCCATGTACTGAAGGCAACCTTTTAAACCAAGTGAAAGAAGCCCAAGAACAGTTCTTGTAAAAATATTAAAATGTGTGTGCAGTCTGGAGGGGGGTGTATTTTTTGATTGATTTTTCGGTGTCTGGAGATAAGGGACAGATATATGAAAAAGCCAAAAAACAAACAAAAAAACCACAAAAGACCCCTTACTGTCCATGCTTATTCCTCCTATGTTACACCGTTGTTTTGAAACCTTAGTAGCAATGACTAACATGTTTTATCTGTAGCAATAGAGAAATGGCATTTTTCTAACATTGCAGCCTGATTTCATTTAGGTTGTTCCAGGGGAAAGTATTGAGCATACTACAGAGCCTCTTTAAGCTTTCTCCCCCCTGCTATTAAAGCTGCTTGTGCTCTTTCACATCTAAGGGCTTTCATTTGCACAGGGTGCCTTTGTCAAGTTTGGCAAAAATCCCCTCCCTGACTGTGCTGCTTCTTGCTGGGTCCTGTCTATCCAAACGCACGACTACATTTAGTAAGCTATATTATGGTAGGCAACTTGCCGTAGGCCTCTGTCAGCAATGTGCAGGGCCACAAAAGAAAAAAAGAGAGGGAGAGAAAGTAGTTACTCAGCCAGTAGCCAAGCAGACCTGTGAAGAAATGTGAAGCGTGCTGTGGTAGGATGGGCCTGGAGACTTTTGGCAGCCGTCCCAGCTCAGTTTTGGTTCTGGCTGGGTGTTGTTCATATGTTCCTTTTCTCTCCGCCACCTTTGCAGTAGGGTGAGTGCGAGTGCTGCTTTGTGCAGACAGCAATCCCATTGAGTGGGTTTCTCATGTAAAATGGACACCTTTACTCCAGGAGTACAAGTCCCCTGTCACTCAGGAATGGCTCATTATGTGTAGACATAGCGTGGGATTCTTTTTGTCTATACAGCCTCAGCTCACCTTTCATCTGATTGTCTAGCCCCAGTGCTATAGTCATCAATTAAAGCTGCTGAGTATGCAGCTAATGAGGCCTGCCCAGTCACTTGCCACAACAGATGATGAAAATGCTGGGACTACTGGGACTTTGGTGGGTCCTGTGGGTGCGCAAACAAGCACCTTGGAGGTCTTCAAAGACGATAGACTGTCCTCACACGAGTTATTTGAAACATGCAATGTTGCCAAGTTATGCTCTTGGCTTTCTAGTTCTGCTCTGATACTGCAAATACTTGGTCCTACTTTCATCCTTCTGATTCGTTACCTTTCTGGAAAGCCCTTATATAGGCCAGAGATTTCTGAGCAGTGGGCTGTGTTCCTTAGCGCAGTGGCTGTTTGCAAGCCGTCCGCTCACGTGGGCTGCTTGCTGTCATCCTCCTCACCGCGTGAGGGAAGGGGAGCAGATGGGACCCCGTGCTCTCTTGGTCTTGCTGGATGTGTGTTTGGCAAACGCGAACAGATGGTGGTGACTGCTTCGTTGAGAAGAAACAAGAGTACCTGTTAGATTTACTTAGTTAAACTCTCACCGTTATTAAACAAAGAAAATGCTTCCAGAGAGCGGAAGCAATAAAATTTCTGGTGTAACCATCTTGAAAACGAAAAGAAGTCGAAACCTCCAAGCTCTTCACTTTCCGCTGTTTTTCTGCCATTTTTCTATAGGTGAATTTAATAAAAAAATCACATGCACCATGAAACAAGGTGGAATTCTCTTTGCTAGTCCAGCAGGTTACTATCATTTAGGAAAAACGCGTGCCTGAGGATGATTTTGTCCCTGCTTGCATTCTCATGTACTCACTCTGAGTGGGCTTGTGGGCAACCCTTGCTGCTTATTTCTGTGCTGAACAGAAGGTTTCAGTTCAGAACTTTTGGTCAGATTACCTTGAAATTGGGACTGTGAGAGCTGGTCAGTGTCTTTTCTTCCAGCCTTCCCTTAGGTAAAGCTGTGATCTTCCCAGGTAAAGCTGCTAAATATCTGTGTTGAAGTGAAACGCCTGTTGTAGGAGAGAAATTAAAAAGTGGTACCATGACACATGCTTCCTATATAAACTACAATGTAATATAGTAGCTATAATGCTGACCTGCAGTGTAATAAAAGATAATAACTTGATCCTAATGGTCCCCGAGTTAAATCTCTACATGAGAAGGGGCTATTTGTGGTTACAGCACTGCAGGTTCTGATTATTATAATTAAAACTGGAAGATAGTGTTAAGACAGGGAATGAGATCTGTAATCTCACTGATAAGTGATTGATCAGCCATCCCTTTTGATGTTTCACCAGCAATTTGGACAGAATGAGTTCTACTCCTACGTCTGGCATTTTGTTTTCCTGACTATGAAGAGAAATTTTTTTTACTTATTTTTTTTTTTAGGAACACCCATTCTCTTATCAAAATCAAATTCTTCATCTGTTAGTACTGCAAGCATCTCACTTGCATTTTGTTAGGAACACTTATTAAAATTGTACATCAGGAGGCAAGATATGCCTACATGTTCTGAGGTGAGACTTCAGTGTGTAGGTGTTTTTTCCTTTTCTGCCATTCATATTGCACTGAAAAAAATCATTAAGAGCTGAGAATTTATTAGGGTGGAAAGATAAAAAGTTGAGGCCCTCTTCCTGCAAAGTGCAGTGTATAAATCACTCCCGTGCAGTCATGAGTAGGTTTGCTGAACTGTCTCAGAGCAAAACTAAGGTTTTGAAATATTTTAGTTTAATACTAAAAATTATTGTTACTTCATATTTGAGTATATTATTCACTGTATTTTAAATAGTTTGCAGTAAAATGGATGTCCTGTTTTTTAATGGGGGGTGAGGTGTGATGATGTGTGTATAATGAATCCCCTTAACGATTGAAAAGTGAACTCTTCAAACAATCTAATTAAAAAGAAAGACAGTAAACAGAAAGAAGGGCTAACCTGATAATTTTTTTTTCTGAAAGATCTTAAGTGTGATTTTTGTGATGTGACAGATTACACAGAAACACTGGTGGTCTTGCCCCTAATCTTAGGGCTTTTCAAGGCTTCCAAGTCAAATACTACCATGTAATGCCATGCCAAAAAAAGATCAAATATGAGAAATAATGATTAGTTCTTGCATTGGTGAACTCATAATGCTGCACTTGGAAGCAGGTCAGAAAAAAATTTAGCAGTAAGAGCGATTCCCTGCGGTGCGGTGATAGTTACTTACTCAGTGCTGCTGCTGGCATACCAACATCTATTTAGAAGGCTAGATTTGATTTCCAGATGTGAGGTCTTAAATCTTTTTTCTAACTAAAAAAAGTGAAACAGACAGTGCCTATGAGGCCAAATGGTCCTCTTCCATACCTAACCAAATGGGGCGAAAAATGCCCACGCTTTCTGGGAGAATTTTATTTGATTTTGACCACCACAATTCGTGTGTCTTAAGCAACAGATGTGTCTTGTTCACTTAGTCACATGAAACACATAGCATGAGAATATTACCTGTGGACAATACAAACATAGAAGAGAATCCATGAGCTTAATCTAAGGAAGAAATCCTCTATTTGCTTGTATCCTGCTAACTTTTAAATGCCTGTTAATTATTTTTTGGATATCCAAAGTAGAGTCTTCTGCCATAAAGATCTGAAAGCAACTGATTTAACTAACTCCTGAATTTTTTCATTCTTCTCCCTTCCTTTCTTTCTTTCCTGCATACCACTGAAATATTTTCTCCTCTGTTCATTTAAAACCTAGATCTCATCAAATACTTCCCAGTTGTCAAGCCCTGAGCCAGTAAAGCTCTGTGGGAAGTCGGCACTTTTCCAGTTGGCAGAGGTAAAGTTATACCCGTTAGAATCACAATGGGAAGATGTGTATGTCTGTTCCCCTAAAAAGTATTAATTGTGTAAGGTTTTCTCTAGTATCAAATCTGGTATTTCCAGAAACGTAAATTAGTAATTAATGGAATAGAAAGAGAATTAGGCAGTGGCAGTGGCCCTAGGGACCTAGAGTTTCTTTATACACTAGCTAATGTGCATCGTTTCTTGGAGACAGCACAGAAGAAGTTACACTTCTTTGTAGAAAAATTAGCCTTAAAAGTATTACAAAAGCAATGCTTGGGCCAATAGCAAAGATTAGATAACAGCATTCTTTGGAATTCAAAATACAGAGCTTTGGTTGTAAGGACTGGAAGGTGCATTGCAGAATTAGGGACCAAGAATAAGAAAAGTAGACTTTGAGATGATCAGGAATCTATATGAAGAGTCGATCAGGAATCAGTATGAAGAGTTGGGAGGCTGAAGCAGTGTATTAAGTTCTGAAATTGGCAGCTGTCAGCAGTAATCAAGAATACTAGGTTAGGTTTCCCAAAAGTACTAGAAATTCTCTGTGGGTATTAAATATAACCTTGTAGGGGTCTCCTCTTTGATATGGATCAATCACTTGGAAACCTCTGACGCTTGGTGTGCAAATACTATTCTTCTTGATGATTGAAAGATGAAGATACATTCTAGGTGAAAAAGGGACGATGCTAGCGCCTTACTCATTCACTTTTTTTGCTTCTGGTTGTCTTTCGTTGTTTCGGGTTTTTTTTTCAATATCACATCCTATTTCAGTGAGGAAAATGGTTCTCTGAACCCCATCTAGTGGCATCGAGCCATATATTCTTGCTGGTGAGGTTTATCCGTCTCAGAGAGATAAAAGGCAGAACACTGAAAGGAAGCATTAAAGTATTTCATGTCTTGTTCCGTGGATAGTAATGCTGCTATCTGACTTTATAGGTACTTACATGAGTGGAAGAAAAGCAGCCTTACCCTACAGGCAGCTTGTGGGTGTGTTCTACATTGTCAGCAGGGTTGCCTATGCAAGGGTGAACGCACCTAACTGTGATCAGTGATCCAGAAGGGCATTTCACTGTTGCAGCCTTGGGTCAGCAGCAAGGCTGGTACTATTTATTCCGAAACACCAGAAGTTTCTGAGGTGTCCTCCTACAGTAGCAGAAACGGTAGCAGGCTTTGAGTAGTGCTGTTGTGGAGCAAGGCTGTTGCTGAGTGCAGCCTGACTTTTGGAAGTTGGCGTTAAAAGTTGTGATGTGACTGTGAAGCTTGAGAAGTACTAATTTGGGGGAAGGACAGGTGCTTGTCCGCAGGAGTGCAGAGTTTGTGCTGCGGTTGGCAGAAAAAGTGAAGCTAAGTCTGGCAGCATGATGTCTGCATCTTGGATGGGTTTCTGTGATCTCTCAGTGATTACTCAGATGGATTCCTACAAGCCTAGTTAAATATACAAAATGAATGTTAAAGGCTCAGATTCAAATGCAGAAAAGCATGGCAGATGTGCTAAGCACATCCTCCTTTTCTCTAACTCTTGTAAGACATTAGTACTGTTCATTTTTAATTTTTTTTCCTCCAATTTTGGAGATCTCTGTAAGGTTGGATCATAATTGAATAAATAAAATGTGAGAGATTCAGCATAAGTTTTCAGACAGCAATTCGAGACCAGATTTGATGCATTCCAAATAAACTATTCATTATCACCTCAAGGGTGTCTTAAGTGTACAAATGCCTTTGGCAGACATCTGTGCCATACCTCTGCAACTTCAAAACCACGGCTGCGGTGCTCTGGGGGGAACTGGACTGCTCTCTCCACG